TGGGAAACTCTACAAGACAAATAACCTGGTTTCTTCAACAAAAGCATTCAGAGGAAAAAGTTAAAAATAAAGCAACTGGGGTAAGACTTTTTAAAAGGCAGGAGACCTATCAACCAGTTGCAATGTGTGGAGCTTATTTAGATCCTGATTCAAATAAACTATTAAAAAATTTTTGAACACTAGCTAGATATTAACATAGTAAAGAGTTACTAATTTTTGAGTGGGATAATGATACTGTGTATATGTACATATTCCTTAGGTGTAGAAAATATGTTGAAGATACTTTGAATTATACCGATGTCTAGAATTTGCTTCAGTACAGTTGTTGATTTTGGAAGAAATAAAATAAGCGATGAGTTGATCATTATTTTATAAAGGATGTTGGGTACTAGGGATTTACGTTATTTTTCATATATTTAAAATCTTTCATTACATAAAGATTTTGATACATAGATTTTATAAAATATATCACTTGAAACATTTTAAAGAATGAGAAAGGATGGAATACTTGCCATTTATTCGATACTCCTGGGTCCTCCTGAAACTGATGTGAATCATCTGGCTAAGAATTGGAGCCAGAAGAGTCTTCCAGTGTTTCCCCCAAAACTGTTTACATTTGTTATACTAAATAGAGCTGACAGATATCCTACCATTTATCATTTGAGCTGACAGTTACCATTTTATTTATCTTTTGCTCATGTATTATATGTAAAATATATTTTATTTTGTAAAAAAGACTATTAGGTTGAAAACAAGCATCATCTTTTGTGACCGGCTGGGTTAATCTGCCCTTGTTGAATCAGCTAGGACTCTGGCCACAAGCTTTCACAGCCTGGAGAGGTGATGTGAGTGGTAGCAAGTGGTGGACAAGGTGGCTGGGAGCAGAGGGAGCTCACGCCCAGCCCCTAGTGGTGGTTACTGTGCAGGATGTCTGCCCTAGGAAGGAGGGCCCAGTGTTACCAGGGTCCCATTCATTTTCATTCTTTCTGAGAATGACTCTAAATCTAGATCATATGTGACATCTTCTAACTTGTAGTTGCTTAAAATATTTTTAGAGTGCCTTTTATTCCAAACCAAACATTTGAGCAACTGGGTTAGTCCCATGAGTCAACCTCTGATTCAGTGACTACCAGTGATAAGGCCCTTAAAGAAGACCCCGCGGCCACTAGGGTTCTAAAGTCCCGTGGCCCTGCTTTCTGTGAGCTTCCAGTCTAGTTGGGAGGGAGAAACACACTTGAAAACAAGATGAAAGGTACAGATAGGAAATATTGTGGAAATTCAGAGGAGGGGATAAATAGACTCTTCTGGGACAGTCTGGGGAAGCCTCCCACAGGCTGTGATCGGAGATGGGAGAGCACTGGTGTCACCAGGTGGAGAGTAAGGGAGAGAAGCAAAGACATGGGTACACAGGCAAGACCCAGGCCTAGACCCTTTAAGAGGACGGTTGGCAGGTTTCACAGACCAGTGGCCCTCCATCATCTACCTACAAAGGATTTTCCAGGCCAAGATAATGTTCTGAACAGTCAGGTGAACACAGGCAGCAAATAGATGAAAGTATGACCCTGAAATTCAGCAGAGGGTTTGAGGATCTGAGCCTCAGATCTGAGCACCGCCTGTGTGGATGGTTGAAGGGACGGCGTCTGGGCAGGGTGTGTTTCTCTAACGTCTGCCACTGGGAAGGGAGACGGTGCTAAATGTAAGGATGCGCTCCAGATCTGGCATTTGTAAAACCACCAACTCTGTTATTTACTACACTAAATCTCACTTGAAGCTCAGAGCAGTCCCCAGTTACTGCCCAGACATCCCCCACACTGGAAAGGAAAGGTTTGGAGTAAGAGACACCTAGAAGTACGTGGGGGAAGAGAATCCCACATTTGAAAGGTTATGCCCGTGGTGATAGCTTTATTTATAGGTTTATGATCCCCCTCCAGTGATGGCCTCAACCAGACTCTTGGTATGTGTGTGTGTATGTATGTTTTACTGTTATGAAAAGATTATTCAATAAATGGAAACATCTAAACAGATTTATAATCTTCCATACTGATGCTCTGCAATACATTTGGGCAACAGCTTTATTTCTTCTCTCTTATTTGAAAGTTTTAAGTATAATTTCTCCTAAAAATAAACAAGAGGTTACTATGTTCTTCCCATAATGAGAATCTGCTTATTGTAGAGTAAGCATTTTAGAGCCTGATTAACTCCAGCAGTTACTTCACGTAAAAGATTGTCTATTTGGATATGAATATGTATCAGTTAAGAATTTTATAAGCCAAAGTAATTTATGAATCAGCACCGCTTTCCTGGCTACTGAACTTTGGAGAGGAGTGAAAGCTTAGTCTCAAACATGTACATAAGCCAGGTGATCTTAAACTAGGGAGCATTTAGCCTAGGAAACTCAGGCCAAGAAGAAGTCATGCCCAGAACATCAATCAAAAATAGCTCTGATTCCAAGTTCTGCATAGCTCTGACACTGTCCCAGTGCACTGTAATGAGACTGCACATAGACATCTCTCAAAAACTTCCCAAATCCAAGAAACCAAGAAAAACACCCATGGCAGCCTTCCGCCGCTTCATAATGAAACTGTTCTTTTAGCAAAAAGTCATAACCAAGCAAAATTCTGCTAAATAAGTTGGCTATTTATTTGGGAGACGATCTTTACAGACTCTGAGACATTGGAGCAGTTAAATTTTTCTCTTATTGATCCTTTCTACCTGTTTTATAGTCGTCTACATAAATCTCTAGCATGTGGGTGAATCAACTTTAAGCTATAAGAGGCACAACCAATTTGATGTCCTTTCTGAGTGTGCAGATTCAAATATTTTATTCAAGTAGTTGCTAATCCAGGACGATTTCTTTGGGAGGCTTGGGGAGTAGAGGGTAGGCATATAGGAGGTAAAGTCGGGATACACTATAATGCAAGAGTCAACAATTCAGATTGACGAAGTTGGCACTAGTGACCGGACTTGACCATTTGTAACAAAGAGTGTGTGGATTGTTTTATGCTTGTAATGGCTTTGTGGCATATTAAGTTTTAGAGAGGAGATTTATTTCTAGAAAGAGGGGAGGGAGGGAGGCTAGGAGGACACAGAGTCTAATTTTTAGATGAAATGAGTAAAGCGTCCATAGTCAGCATTTGGAAGCTCTCCAACGTCCAGCAGGCTGAAAGAAACTCAGGGGATTGTCATGGTATTAGAGCCAGTCCTAGGTGCCAAAGTCAAAATAGGCCATGCTGGCCATAGGAAAGCCCCAGGCAGGAGCGTATGTAGGTCACTTGCATGTTTTGAATTTAGACAGGCTGTCTTAACACAATTATTTACCATTTAAGCCCCGGAGAAGCTCTGTATGTTCTAAATTTTTTAAAATGTGATTGTTTCACAACATATGAGAAAACTGTAACATCACCTTGAATGATGGTCTTAGTGGTTCTCCTGTGACCCTGGGTTGGGGGGTGCAGGTGGGGAACTCTGCACCCAGTGAATTTCACTCTCCTCGGAAAATGTTTGAAGCTCACTGTGAGGCTCAGGATGGAACACGATCTCTTCTCAGTCACGTTCAATAAATATTATTTTGATGCAGTAAAAAAATAATTAACAAAAACGGAAAGTATATAAGCCATCACATTTAATCTCACATATATTTATTGAACATTTACTATGACCTGGCGTGGGAAGGAAGACAAGGAAAACCCCAAATGCCAATTTTGCCTAACGCTCCTGGTATGCTTTTCTCTGGAGCACAGAGACCTTCTTTCCCTGCACTTCAGGTCCCCCGTTTCCTAAAAGACTCCCCTCTTATTCTTTGCAGACATTCCCATATACATGCCAGGAGGGCACATCGGCTCCTCTGGAAAATTGTGCTTCGCAGAAGTTCAGGTCCCCAAGGGAGGAACCAAATTAGCCACATCACGAATTCTGCTTTTGTTTTGCCGACTGCCTCTTTTAAGTTCTTATTTAATGACAGTATTTGCTTTTCCGTAAATACATGTAAATCTCCTACCTCTTACTTGTCACAGCCGAAGGAAGCTCAGTAAGTGGTAATCAAGGAAGAAAGCATATTTCAGACAAATCACTGTAATTGAGAATATCTGTGTAAACAGTGCCGTTCTTACAATTGACAAATTTACCAATTGTTCTGCCCTGTTGTAGATCTAAGGGTATCACCTAAGTTTGTTTTAATTAACAATCCCTTAATTAAGAAAGTATCATGCTTATGGTAAAAAAAAAAAGTCTGAGGACATAGGGTTATAAGGTAGTCATAGAGACCCGAGGGATTCACTCCCTTTTTTTAAAATCCTCCTGTGGTTTCTTGTGACCCTTAGAAGGAAATCCAAGAGCCATACATACTGGGGTCTCTGGGCCTTAGGGTTCTGGGCCTTTCCTCCTGTTCACGTCTCCCCCAACTCCCTCCTCGGTGGCCACGTGCTGGGGGCGGGGGCGGGGGTGGGGGGATGCTTCTTTCTCATTCAGGACTCATCACACCTGTTCCCATGGCAGAGGTGTCTTCCCTGGCCTGCTGTCCCTCATGTTGTCCCCTCCTCGTCCTTCGTTTGCAGGCACAGTGTTTTATTGCCGGGGTCCTGATCCCTCTCTGAAGTTACTTTATTGCTTACTGGCTGATTATCTGTCTCCCCTCTACAGTGTAAACTCCAGGAAGGCAGGGGTCTTGCCCATCTATTTATGGTTGTATGCCCAGTGCTTCAAAAAGGGCCTGGCACATGCTAGTTCTCAGTAAATACCGCTACAGTTGGATGAAGGGTAGTTGTAAGATTGAATGGCACGTAACTGGGAGCCTGCCAGGTGGAGGCTCCCTTCCGCTCCCTCCCCCAGCCCCCTAACAAAATATGGCAAAAACTGCTTAATCCATGCTATTCTATTTTAAACAAATTAACAAAGCACTCAATTATACTGAGTACAATAAATCATACCTAATTGAATATAAAGTAGTCCCCCCAAAGGTGTTCATTTAAGAATTCACATATTTTTTTAATCTAATTTTTCAGGTTGTCCTTGTCGAAAGGAACCATGAATTGGCATTTTCCCTTCTTCCTTGTGGCCACAGTGACGTTGCCCTCCGTGTGCTCCCAGTTCAACCCCCTGTCTCTGGAGGAACTAGGCTCCAACACAGGAATCCAGGTTTTCAATCAAATCGTCAAATCCCGGCCTCATGACAATGTGGTCGTGTCCCCTCACGGGATCGCGTCTGTCCTGGGGATGCTTCAGCTGGGAGCCGACGGCAGGACCAAGAAGCAACTCACCACGGTGATGAGATACAGCGTGAATGGTGCGTGCCCTGTGGGCTCTGGCCGGTGGGGCCTCAAGCGAGTCCTGCATCCGGAGGGGCTTCTCTGGTGCCATTCTGGCATCCAGGACGGATGTGCCAGTGCTGGAAGTGTCTTGACCGTGCTGGTGACCACATGAATCTGTGTGGGTGAGAGAAGTGCAGAGAGCCACGCACACACACGCACACACACACAAATCCCTGTAAAAGGCATGCAGTGTGCATGAGCTCTGTGAGCTCTACCCGTGGCAGTCTCCGTGTGATACTGTGCTGTAGTCTTCCAAGGTGTTACCACTAGGGGAAACCGAGCAAAAGGCACAGGGGATGACCCCGTATATTGTTTTGCAACTTCCCGTGAATCTATCATTATTTCAAAATAAAAAGCTAAAAAAAAAAATTTTTTTTTTGAAGTCAGGCCCAGTGGAAAAGGTTTGAATTGTTGTTTTGAATTATCTGTGTACACTTAAGAGTCTCTGTCTCCTAGCACTGGTGCTTCGTGGCTCCTGCTCAGGTTTCATCCCCCAGAGTCTACCTTGCACCTGCCTCTTGAGTGAGGGCCGCGTGTGAGGGAGCAGAACAGGACCCACAGCCTTCCTCTGGGGCCACTGGGCACCGCGGCCCTAAGCGAGTCCCTCTGCACGTCAGAGTCTTCGCTGCTTTATTGGAAAACGAGGGAGTTGCCCTTTCCATGTTCTTCCATTCCTGTTAGCCTCATAAAGTTCTAGGAATCTTGACTGCATTGATGCCTTTGGCTGGGAGAGGAAAACCAGAGGGACAGGCGGGGGTTCGAGAACTCCGTGCCTCACGCCATGCTCCTGGGTGGCTGTGTTCAGTGTCACCTCCTGAGCTGCCAGCCCCAAATGCCTAAACTTGCCCCGCTCTGTTTACGTGGCCTTCAGTTTCTCATGAGTCTGCAGTTGGATCACCTTTCAGAAGCGTGGAATGACTTAGTACTTGGAACACACCACTCTGCCCCTTGCTTGGATGCTCGGAAAACTCTTAGTGATTTATCGCTTCCCAGTGAATCACTGCTAGAATTTACGGCCCTTACCAGTGCCATCGAGACCCTGTCAGCTAGTACAGTTCCAACGCAGGGACTGGACTTCTGTTTCACACTGAGCCACATTCATTCAGAGCAGTATTTCTAAAGTTTTGACAATGTTGCCTGTGGGTGGCTTCCTTCCCCCACGCTTGTTTTCTCCCGAATCACTAGCTGTTGTGTTGTGAAATGGGGCTCCAGTCAAGAGACAGACTATTTTAGGGGAGCCCGAGTGGTTTTTCAGGCCCTCTGAGAACTCAGGATAGTGATGCTCTTACCAAGGACAGAGGCAGAACAGTCTGGGGCAGGGGAGGAAGATCTACACCAGTCTTTTTGTGGCAGGAGACTGAGGCATGTGGAGGAGGCCATGTGGCCAAAAGGGACAGGTGCTGGGTCTTGGCCTCTGCTGTTCCCTTACCGATAAAGTGGGCCTGCCCCACAGAACAGCACAAAAGGGAGGGTCATGAGAAGCCAAACAAAGGGCCAAAGGGTCACCTCCCTGGGCCCCGGGGCCGACTCAGCCTGCCCTTATCTAGTGGGTCTGCAGAAGAGACACTCAGCGTGTGGCAGGTCAGCTCTCCAGGACACCATCACTGTGACCCCTGCAGGCTGTTTGAGGACAGTGTCATTTTGAAAGGACCCCAAGCGAGTAACCCAAGAATCTGTAATTCGAGCTCACTACAGAAACACATTTCATTCTTATAATTTATTTTCCTCTTCTCCGTGTTCTAAAAGCAAATGGAGTATGTATGAATGGCTCGTGTTAAAATAAAGCTTACATTGCCATAACATTAATCCCCATGCTTTTTGAGCTTGAGATCAGGTAAAAACCACACTGTTCTTGGATGGTGGCACCTGGCAATTTTTTATGGTCTTTCGAATGCTTATTTTATTCATCTTTTTTTCCAAAATAGAAAAAAAAGAAATCGCAGCGTTAAATCTTTGGCAGGAAAGAGCACTAGAGATTGCTAGGAAAGAAAAAGAATGAATTAGGAAGATTCCTTGGATTTATTTCCCCATGGCTACGTATGGAAGAGTCTGCCAGTCTTCCTAGTGACCTGGCACCGAGAAAGTCTCCCAGGAGGACAAGGTCTATGTGGGCGAAGGTGTTGAGATGCCTTGAATATGCTAAAAGCACCACTGACTTAAGAAATATTGCTGCATTTTTCCGTTTCTCCTCCAGGAGTCGGTAAAGTGTTGAAGAAGATCAACAAGGCCATCAGCTCCAAGAAGAATAAGGACATTGTGACCGTGGCCAATGCAGTGTTCGTGAAGAACGGCTTCAAGATGGAGGTGCCCTTTGTCACCCGGAACAAAGACGTGTTTCAGTGTGAAGTCCAGAACGTGAGCTTTGAGGATCCAGCCTCCGCCTGTGATTCCATCAATGTGTGGGTCAAGAACGAAACCAGGGGTGAGTGGCCTCGGTTCCCCGGGAACTGTTTTGTACGATCGTATACCCTGTGAATGAAAGCGTGAGGGGGACTCTGAGCTTCTAACAGGTCCCGTGGCCCTCCCATTGTGAAACGCCTGGACCCCCCTGGCTGGTGTGTCTGTGCTCTCTTAGCAGGGTCCATGACTCTGTCTACCTTCCTTCCCTTTTCTTGCTGCCTCCACCCCGCTGTGCTGTTCGGGACGTTTCTCCCTGGGGCCTGGGCAGCAGAGTAGAATTCAGCCCTGCTGACTCTCCCCTTTCCTCACTACATCTCCTCCCTGGAGGCCTTGCCCGCAGGCCCTGGCCTAGTCTGCAGGTTCAGTTGCTCAGTCCTTCCTATGTTTGTTTCTGTGACTGCCCCTCTCCAACCTGCGAGATTCGGGATTGATCTCCCTCCTTGCTTTCCTTCCCTCTCGCTGCTGTCCCCTTCACGAAGTAGGTGCCTCCGCTTGGCTTACAATCAGCATGTGATTATGCGTTGTCTGTGCCCCGTTACTGTAGCATGATTACGTGTTTACATGCGTTTCTCCTCTCATTAGACTGAGGAAATGTCTAACGTGGGTGTTTTAAACCTGTTAATTTGCAAACTAGAGGTCTAGTTGGAAATACTCTGGACTAGAGATGGGTCCAGAACAACAGAGGAAAGTGAACACTGCAGATACAGGCTGGGGAAGCTTTTTTCATAGGAGGTAGAGTTAAGGTCACAAGAAGGGACCCAAAGACTCAATTGGGACCCAAGGACAGAATGTGAGCAAATTGGCTTTTCGGGTCCTCTTTCTACAAGCATGGTTCTGAGGGCACCTGCCTCAGAATTATCCAGAGCATTTGTTTTGAATGCAGGTCACTGAACCCCAACCTCCTGTATCCGAATCTCTGAGGGACGGGTCTAGCATTCTGCACTGAAATGACTGCTCCCCCAGTCTGCCCCCACCCCCCACCCCCCAGCAGACTTGTATACGCAAATGTCTGAGAGCATATGACAGACTAGTGCAGTGATGGACCAGGAGGGCCTGGGAGGGTGGAGGAGAGCCAGAGTGGTTTTGGTCAGTCCACGGCATTCCTTCTCCACAGGTCCTGGATAGCAAGATCCAGGCTTTCTTCCTAAAACCACAGAACAATCAGGAGACCTGTGAGTGTGGAAGGTTTAGTGGTTCTTTCTGGGCCTAGAGGCCTAAGAACAGTGGGTTGCTGGCACTCAGCGCTGGATGGCTGGATGACTATGGCATGTCGGTTCCCCTTGCTAGCCTTCTTTACCAATGTGCTGGTAATAGTGAGTCACACTTGTGTGCCACGTGACAGAGGTCAAACTACCTGGACACACACTGACTCAGTTGCTTACTGCATCTGTGGAGGGGAGTGTGGTAAGATTCAGCCGTGTTTTTCAGCCCTACAGACCCACTCCTTCTTTATAAACAAAGATTTTTACTATTCACTCTACCATCCTGAAAGGAAATTCACAGCTCATGTAACCTGTGCACAAGTACACGAAATTTTTATTCTTCTTTTTAAATTGTTTTCAGGGTTTTTTTTTAAATTTTTTATTGTTATGTTAATCACCATACATTACATCATTAGTTTTGGATGTAGTGTTCCATGTTTCATCGTTTGTGCATAACACCCAGTGCTCCACGCAGAACGTGCCTTGTTTTCATTTTTTTTTTAATGTTTTATTTATTTATTCATGAGAGTCAAAGAGAGAGAGGCAGAGGCAGAGGGAGAAGCAGGCTCCCCGCCTAGCAGGGAGCCCAATGCGGGGCTCGATCCCAGGACCCCGGGATCATGACCTGAGCTGAAGGCAGATGCTTAACCATCTGAGCCACCCGGGCGCCCTTGTTTTCAGTTTTTAAAGATTATATTTATTTATTAGAGAGAGCGTGTGCACACACAAGTGGGGGGAAGGGCAGAGGGACAAGCAGAGTCTCCACGGAGCAGTGAGCCTGTTGTGGGGCTCGACGTGGGACTCGATCCCAGGACCCTCAGATCATGACCTGAGCCAAAGGCAGGTGCTTAACCGACTGAGCCACCCAGGTGCCCCACAAGTACACAAAATTTTTAAAAATTGGTATAATTCCAAACTGTAATACAAGGAAAAACAGAACTAATTTATGTATGTAGTTCAGTAGGTAAACCCTTGTAGTACCAACTACACCTGAGAACGTAACAAAGCAGTCGTATTCTTAGAATAATTGCGAGCTGACAGCTACAAAAACAGACCGAGACAGGTATGTCATACCAGTGACATGAAAACCACAAGCTGCCTTCCGATTTTTCTGAAGACTTTTTTTCTAAAACTGCAAAATTCTTGGTAAATTTCAGAACACAGTAAGAAGAGTCTCCGCTTGATGTGCACGGCAGTGATATACCTAGAAAATTCAGTGTACAGTAAGAACATGCCCCCAAACAGATACCTTTGTGTTTATGTGGAAAAAAGAGTGAGGTTGTGGGCTCAGGGGATGATAAGCTGGTTTGTTGCTAGCGTGAATATCCAGCGGGGGCGTTTGGAAGCTACATGGCAAGCAGGACACTTCTTTACCGTGTGGGACCATTTGGAACATTGCAGGACAAGTAGCATTTCTGGCCACCTGCCATTCAGCTGAAAACTCTCCCACAAGTTCACATGTTGCCCCCTTGGGATGATCTGCCTCACTGAGAGGCACTTACCTGCCACAAGGACCCTGGAGATGGAACAGTCCACATTGGAAAGACCACCCAGCGCAGCCCAGAGAGATGACTATTCCTGCCCGCTGCAGAGGGGGAGAGCCAGACACAAAGGTCCTTTCCTGTGTGAGGGGGTGATGGCCCAGCCAGGGCTGCATGCCTGGGGCTCCAGCCCCAGCTGCTCCTTCACCTACTCTGTTCTCATGCCCTGTGCGCTTCGTCCCTGTCCCTCTAACTCACCAGGCTCTCTCCTATCACAGCCGGCTACCCGGGGTGCTTTTGTTCCCCCTTCCCCTTGCTAACACCTATTCATTTTCACACCATCCCAGGAATGGCTTCATAGTTAAAAGTACAGGCTCTAAGTTTGGATCTCAGTTCTGCCACTTCCTGGCTGTGTAACCTGGGGCAAGTTACTTAACCTCCCTGTGCCTCGGAGTCCTCATCTGTGTAATGGAGATATGATAGTGACAACTACTAAAATAGTTAGAACAACATTAAGGTTACATTAAGAAATTACATTAAGGAATGTAAATAATACACGTTTAGGAAAGTGCCTAGCACTTAACAAATGTTCAGCAAGTGTGAGCTGTTTTTTATAGCTATTAGGTCAAGTAATTCTTCAAGGAACCCATCCCTGACCCCACTGACCAGATCAGATCCCCCTCTTATCTGCCCTCACATCTTTGAGTCCTTCTGCTTTGAGGTATTTATTACTATTGCATACACTTTCCTGAGTCATTTATGCCAACCTCCCCCTCTCTCTTCTCCATAGCTTTCTGAGAGCGGGCTTCATTTTTTGTTTGTTTATTTTCTTACCTAGAAGAGTACTTGGCATATGGTAGGTAGGTATCCAAGAATGGATGGTGGGGTGGTAGATGGATGGGTCGATGGGTCGATGGGTGGATGGGTGGATGTATGTATGGATGGGTGAATGGGTGGGTGAATGGGTGGGTAGGTAGATGGGTGGATGGGTATGTGGGTGGCTGGGTGGATGGATGGATGGATGAATGGGTGTGTGGATGAGTGTGGGTGGGTAGGTGGATGGTTGAATGGGTAGGTGGATGGATGGGTGGGTATGTGGATGGATGGATGGATGGGTAGGTGGATGGATGGGTGG